CTTATTTCAGTTTGAAACTTCACTTCTATTTACATGAGTGAAAGGGCGGGGTATATTATTACCCCCCCCTGTCCATCTACACATTTAAGATAGAGCAATTGTTTTTGAATAATTCATCTGAACATATCAAATCGGCAAGATAAGAAACCCCGGAATTTTTTTCAGTTTGGAATCTGACTCCCATTGGAACACCGGCAGTGTTAGCAGAAAAAGGGATTTTTGGTGTTTAATTAAAATCATAAATATTTGAATAGTTATAACTTTTTTTTAGATACATTCTAGCATCGTACTTTCTTTGGCAAAGTTGTTAGGCACTTTCTGGACTATATTTGTACATACTTAGTTGCATAGTTCATGCAAAATTGTGATCTCTAGGGATAAAAATGCAAAAAAATTCCATACAAATTTCAAACGCAATGCGGAAAGTCGAGTTACATCCAATCGTCCCCAAATTTTGCACAGTTGTTTGGAACTCCAAATGGAACCAAAAAAGGGTTGTTTTCGATTGCTGAGGTAAAGTTTGCGTTTTTCCGTATAACGATGACCCACTCTAATGCATATACTGGTGAAATCCAAAAGGTTAGTACCTATCGATCTGCCGGGAATAAATCCATTCTGGTCAGTTGAAATGTAGTTCTTCGAGCGATTCAGGAAAAATTCGCTCAAGATGATCTCAAACAGTTTGGACACTGCCGATAGACTGGTGATACCTCGATAGTTCTTAATATCCCGTTTATTTTCAGCTCTGAAAACAGGAAACACAGGACTGCTTCCACAATGTTGGGAATTTTCCTTGCTCAAAAAATGTATTAAATATGGCTGCTAAAGGTTCTGTTCTTTCCCATCGAGTAGCATGTTGGACGATATACTCGAATCTTTCCTTTTCCTGTTGACAAAGCTCCAAAAATTTCGGGGGTTACGCCGCCAATTCAAGTGGACTCTGAGGACGTGTGATTTGTACAAGACACTGTTATGTTTAATGTAAGCGATACTGGCACGCTTGAAGTCATGCTTCGTGTCAGCTGTTCTGTGACGACGTAGTTTTCTCTGGACTGCGTTACGCTCACGCCAACCAATGTTGAATCATGCTACAGAAACGCACAGTCATCTCATCAACATCAATGCATTCAACACTGCAGTATGAGACATAATCAATTTTCTTCAAGTCTAGAAGCCCTGCTCTATCATCCACGTTGCAAGCTATGTGAGATGGTCAGTCAAGTGGAGCAGGTAGCGACATAATTAAGGAAGGATGGTGAGCATCAATAGGTAAAAGCGGCACAGCGGATTCGTCGATATCGAAATCATTTTCACCGTTGCAAAATACCAAATCCAGCGTGCGGCCAAGTTCATTTCGGACTTAGATTAACGAAATCCATTCCATCAACAAGAGCAATACATACTTACAGCGATCAGTGAAGAAGACCCTGTTATCATCGATTCCCCACTGAAGACGAGGCTGATTATAATCGCCACAAACAAGAATCTTATCATCACAAGATGCCTTGTCGCACAACTCTTTGACTAAGGCAATATGCGCTTCCATAACTTCGACGTCGCATCTTCTGTCGGGTGGTATGTACACAGCGCATACATATAGTCTATAGCCATGTAAGTCCAGTGATACACAGACTTGTTCCAGTCTAGTACCGTGTCTGACATTCGCAAATGAGCTGACATAACGTTGCGTCACAGCACGCCACCAAAGCATGTTTTATCGCTATAGCGTAAGTTGCGATCACAGCGAAACACGTTGTAGCCAGGTCCAAAAATCTGAGTCGAATTGATACTATCGTCAAGTCCGGTTTCAATCAAGATGATAACGTCATACTCGCAATCAACAGCAGCCAGGAATAGATCATCAATTTTTGTCCGAATTGGTAGTACACCCAGATCCGATTTTCAGTCGAACCAGCCGGTTGTTGCTCTTGAGGCGGTGAGGCTCTGGAAGCTTTTCAATAGCTTCTTGTAACCGATAATGAACGATCTTTGGTCGTAGCTTGTTGGGATGTAAGGGGCTCGGTGGCCTTAGAGTGACCGCTTTTGCTTACTGAGCTGATCATGGGTTAGAACCCAAGCCCCTTTACATTACTTAGTTGATAGGGTCGTGTCATTAGCTTACCAGGCTTTAAAAGATCGCATCACTTTCTAATGTGAATCCAGATCTAATTCACCCTTCCCACTAACAAAAACGTTCTTCCCGTGACCACCGTGGAGATGCAGAGGTATACTCGGTCTCTAGTAACAACGGGTCTCGTAATAACAATCCTTTCCTTCCCCGATGACCGTAACGACGTGGCTGGCGCCGTTATTGCCCTCAAAAAGAAGGATTCATAGGATTTTGAGAATGGCTTGCTAATCCCAAGCCCCATATATATGGTTCTTTGGACAAATTCAGCTAAATCTGATCAATCTGGACTCATACTCATGCTCAGAATTTCAAAACTTGTTCAAATTTAAAAATATGCACATAGGGTTAACTATCCCATTTTTGGCCTATTAAGCACAACCCGCACTTAGTCTTTCTTAATCTAGCGCAGTTTAGCACCAAACGGAATGTTATTATTACTGATGGCTTCCAAATTTATTTACCTTTCTGTACGTACCGTAAGATTTGATAAAGAGAAACCAATCGTTGAGATATTGTCAAAAGTCTAACACTGCTTCTTGACGCCAAACTCGGCCTACGGATTCTAAACTCGGCCTAACGCATTGAAATGCCAATGAAACGAAAATGAATTCACTTCGGCCTATCGGATGAAGATAAAAACTGATTCGGTCGGAGCGCTTCTTTTGTGTTTGGGAATAATGGGTGCAAACCTTTATATCACGCGTTCTCATTGATTTCGTTCGGTAGCTTATTTACTAAAGTATCATACCAAACGCATAATTGACTTGTTAACTCTGAAATCATGGAATTATTTTGTGTTTTCTGCACGATAGGCCCAAAAAGGGCGATTAGGCCGAAGTAGTTCTCTACCCTACCAGAACCAAAAAAAAAACATTTCAAGCCTCTGAATTTTTAAAATTTATTTGTTACTGAAGATCAATCCTCCCTGGATCTATAAAGTTAAATGTGTGAATGAAAATAACAAGGAAAATTATTTTCTTTAAAATATCCTAGTAAGAAAATTATTAAATCCCCTGAGAAATGTTGAGATTCCCTGAGACTTCCAAGTATTTGCAAATTAAAATTCCTTGATGATTCCCGGTTTTTCAGGTAGTAGGCTAATACCGTGGGTTTTGTGATGCATTTTCTATTGAATATTTCGCTACAAAGCTTCGTATCGTACATAAGTGTTTATGAGACACTAATTGAGTAAGTCTAAAACATCAACATTTATTTTCTGAGGCATAACATCTCTGATCACGCCTTCCTTCGGATGGGAAGTAAAGCCGTTGGTCCCCGGTTCATGAGTTGATGGGTCGATAGGTAGGGTCCAGGTGTGGGAGCTGCCTTCCTGGCACGTCGGTAGCATTGGTGCTCAGCACGGAAAACAAGATCGACGGAAAAAAACAAACCAAAGGAAAAAAAAAAAAAAAACATTTATTTGGTGTTTCATCAGACCGACTACTTTTCTTCTTTTATGTCACTTTTTAGTCACTCTTTTACAACTATAAGTCGCTATTTGGTCGCTTATTTCGTCAACATGGTCATTAGAATAAATATTTTTGATAGCATTGATCGATTTGGAAGGAAACTGATAGAGCTTTCAGAGCACATAAGTAAAATGCTAGGAACTTTCAGGAGAGTTCAGATGAGTTACAGTCCAGACTTGGCCCTTAAGTGTTATGAACTTACCTGAAAGCTCTCCCAGGCAGGCATGGAAAATCGTTTGCATTCATATCATACATTCATTTGCCTCTAACTTTTTTCATCAACAGCATTCCGCAAAATGAAGTATAGAGCTTTTGTAGGTTTTCTTATTAGCTAAAACTTTTGCTCATAGCTCAAATCTGTATCTCTTATGCATCACGAACTACAGTGGGCAGAACTTGTTACTGTTTTTCAGTGAATGTAAAATACATTCACTGAAAAACAGTAGTGGCTTCGGTTCGCTCTGGTTCGTCATGCATAAGAGATACGGATTTGAGTTGTCAACAAAAGTTGTAGCTAATAACAAAACCTACAAAAGCTTTATACATCATTTTGCGAAATGCTGTTGAAGAAAAAAGTAAGAGGCAAATGAATGTAAATGAATGCAAATGATTTTCCATGCCTGCTCCCAGGTTATCTTTAAGGGGAAGCTCACCGCTCCGAAAAAAATAATTACGTTTTGATTTTTCTAAAAATATTGAAAAAAAAGTATCAAAAATCTAAAAAAATCACATTTTTTTCTATTTTTTTTAAAGAAAATTCACGTGCAAAAACATGTTTTATAAGTCATTATGGCATAAAGTTGGACTCAAAAAACTACAAAACATCAACTTTTCGGTTTTTCTGAGAGTCTAATTTTTTTTCATGATGGGATAGAAAAATTTTTTTTGCATGTAATTTTTGACAAAAATCTATGGAAGAAACTGATTTTCTTGGATTTTTGATAATTTTTCCCAATATTTTTAGAAGAATAAAAACGTACCGAAAATATTTTTTTTATTTTTGGGCCGGTGAGCTTCCCCTTAAAGACCTCTGTAAGGCCCTTAATAGCTTCAAAGACCTCATAGAGGTGTTTGAGCGCCACTTGTTGTTAGTATGTATGCACAGATAAAAATTCTGAATTTTAATTGTGATGTAAACATTCATTCACGTAAACTTGTATTTCATTTGACGCAACCGAGCAACTTGTAAACAATGTTGTTTACAACAATGGGATTTTGTATACAATATTTGCTACATTGCATGAAATGTGTCAGAACTTTACATGATACATAATGTAAACGTATATGATATGTGACGCTCCATTTATGTGCATCATATTGAACAGAAAATTACACTACTTTTTCGGACTGTGTGGTTTGATGGCCATAAACGATTAAGAGCTTCAAAGTAGATCCGTTAAGTCTCCAGAAATGACTCATGAAGGCTCTGTAGTTAACGCATAAAACCTTTAAAGTTGACTCATAAGGTTTTTTTTTTGCTTTATTATAGAGACTTTCAGCCTTTAGCTGGTTCGTCTCTTGAATCATAAGGTCTTCAGAGGTGAAACATAAAACTTCGGCAGTTAACCTATAAGATCTTAATGAGACGTTTACATTAAACCTATAACAGAACTATGAAGTTATAAAATATTCGGAGCTGATTCTGTAAGATCTCCGAATATTATTTGCAAGCCTTCAGACTTAGCTAAGAGTTGTTCTTAACAGGAAGCCTACCACACAAAAATTTCGGCCATTTTTTTATATTGGAAAAGCTATCAAAAATCTAAGAAAATCAGTTTTTCTTAGATTCTTGAGAAAATTGACATGTACAAACATTTTTATCTAGGGGAAATGACGGCTTCGGCATGCCAGACTATTTTCGGCAGCCCAAATTGAAACACTATTTTCACTGGATTTTCTTACGAAAACACTTCGCTGAATGCATGTAAACGATTCTTTATGCTTTCAGCTTCAATTTGACTATATTTTTACCACTGAAAAAAAGCAATCTAGCAAGGTTTTCTTGAAATGAAATACACGCACTACAAATTGTAGCTGATTTCGAGTTGCCGATAATAGAACAGCAGATTTACATGCAGTTCAAATGGAACGGTTGCCGACAATACTCGCTCTCACTAGAGAAGATTGGAGCTTTGTAAAAGCGTTTCAAAACAGTTTTTGACAATTCTTTCGACTGAAATTGCTAGAGCAGCTGGCAGCAAAAGATTGTAAACAAACCAATACTGCATATGTGTGTGTTCCTTAGAGAAAAGGGCTATAGAAAGAAGGTCGCTGCTTAGGTTGCCGAGAATACGTAAATTCCCCTATCTCATCATGAAAAAAAAGTTGGACTCTAAACAAACTCGAAAGATAGATTTTTGCGGTTTTTAAGTCCAACTTATTGCCATGATGCCATAGGAAAAAATGTTTTTACACTATAATTCTCTTTATAATCGAAAAAATACGGATATTTTTAGATTTTCGATATATTTTCCCAATATTTAAAAATAAATCTAAACCTTATACAGTGGCGTCGCGTAACCTCACTTTTTACCTGTGTACTAACTTTCAAAAACTAATTTAATGCCATATTCATACTCGAATCGGTTGAAAAATACATTTAATATTCTAGTTAACTCGATATCTATCCATTGCAAGTAATATTTTGATAATTGTTTATGTTTTGAGAGTTAGTGCACAGGTAGATTGAGGTTAAGGCGACGCCACTGACCTTATAATAACGTTAACAACATCTGATATTGTGCCATAAGATTCGCAAAATGTAAGGATTCTACCTATCAACCCTCTAGAGTTGCTTCAAGATTCATAAAGCATCTGAAATCAAATCATGAGGACTTTAAAATCGGGAGTCCGGAGGCTGTAGTAAATCTTAAGATCTCAGATGATGACTTGATACTCTACGGCCTGGGAAGTAAAGAAAATTTCCTGGCCTGAACCGACAGTCAAACCCGCTGCATCCGACTTCTTCATTTTCTTTCTTTGTTAACAAAATGTTCAGTCGGAGCCTTGTTCATCTCCGATTTTTGGTACAGGTATACCTCGATATAACGTAACTGTCAGTTTTGATTTCCATCGCTGATTTTTCATAAACGATCATTCAAACAAGTAAAATAATAACAACATTGGACAGATGAGATAATCCCCCAGTTATCGGTAATATTAATTTGTATGGTTCAATTGTTATTAGCGAGATATTGACGATGGAAGTCAAAAGTGACAGTTACGTTATATCGAGGTTTACCTGTAATACCGTTACAAAGCTGACCTTAAGTTGAATGAACATAGTTGCCGGTCCAAGATTAACAAACCAAATTAACCGAAGGAAACCTTACCTCGGACAGTGACATTCATAAATCTTGATCCATTTTGGGGACTCCAAACATCCCGAACGGATGATCCTTCCATCAGACGTAGCAACAACTGACAGCCAGGTCAGCGCCAACACGATTTATAATGCTTATATTTCACCAACCTGACAGACCGTCGCATCTCTTTTTCCCGTCCTTCCGGAGGAACATCATAATCGTTCTTATCGTCTCTGAACGGAGCGGAAGTCTGGCAGGATGTTGCCACTTTCGATCATTTTTTATGTCCCCAAGTAAAACACGAGCCAAAATTCCAATCCCAGCGCGCACACCACACCGAGCAAGTTAATAATTTGCATGTTGGCTCGTTAAAATTAATGAGACTTTTTCGTCCTTGCCCTCTGTTCGAAGCGGCCGTCGTGGGTGTATCGTGTTCGTCCCAGGAAGGCGAAATTTGTCTTCATTTGTTCACCGCAGGCGGCTTTTTTGGGTGGAAAATGTTTTGATCGCGGTTGTCATCTTTTGCTTTTTCTACTACTGACTGACTGAGTCACACCATCATACATCATTCCCACAATAATTTTTTCGGTTGATTATAAAATCTACTGTACTCCTCTTGTTTGGTGATGAATTTAGACAAACAATGGAAATGGCTCTAAAGATTGGGCCCATCGATAACAATCTCATGTTCTTCAATTTTGTCTTGGAACAATGCAAATGGATATTTTTGGTTGCGATTGAAAAAATATCAAAAAATGCATTCCTTTGAAATTTATGTATTGGCCCAATATTAGGTACATTAACCCTACTGCAAAATTTTCTGTTTGAAAACCGGTAATTAATTACCCTAATATTTTAACGCGATATTTCTAACTTCTAACAAATTCCACCATCATTTTGGCTCGACCTTGTAGCGCAATCCTGTCGCGAACTGTTGACAGCCCATTCCGCCTCACAAGCACACACACACAAACACTCGCACAAACACCTCGTTTAAGGTAATTGAATCGTGCCAAATTCCAGAGACAGACTGTCGGTCGTGATCAATCGAAGCAGAACGGAACAAAACAGAAAAAAAAAACTGCATGGAAATCGATTGACGTCACTTGCAAAGAGCGACTGAAAAATCGGAACCTCCGATTGAATGGGACCAGAAAAATATTCTAATGCTTAGCATAGCTCACCTACCCCCCCACTCACCCACCTACCTAGTGGTTCTGAATGCTTTTATAGGTCATCTTCACAATGGCCCATGCATTGCCTTCGCTGCTTGTGCTTTGCTGTGCGGATGACATACATGTTGTTTTTCGCATTCACACACCGGCAAACAATGAGATGACAGCGAGGAAAAAGTGTTGTTCACTGCCGATGGCAGTTGGGATCCGCTGAATGCGAGACAGAGAGAGATTCCTGCGTTTTGTCTGTCTGAAGAAGAGACTGTCGTGTCACGATGTTTTCCTTGGTTTGTTGCTTGCTATTCAAGATTGATATGTCGAGGGGCGTTGCTTTTCTGTTTTCGTTCGTCCCAGTTGAGAGGTGTGACGTGGAATTGTTTTTGTTGTTAAGTACCAAGTTACATGGGAATATTTGGTAAATTGGTTCGGGAGTGCTCAAAGAGTCTGGAAAAACTAACAGCACCAGCTTTGGACATGGTAAACAACTGTTTCTATTCCGGAGTATAGAATATGTTTTTCAAAAAAGTTGTGTCGAAATAGACGCTAGTGCAAAATTGATGGTTCTTCGTCCTGACTTTGACGCTCTAACACGAGTTAGTTGTTTTTGAGCATTGTCAGATCAGCTGTTATTATACAGAGAACCAATAGACGATACTCGGGACTAGCATTCATCCTCAATGTGTAAACACTTACTTACCCAAGTAACAATTTTGGTTTTAGGTTTTTTAGGAAGGTTCTATAGACCATGATTAGTAGTATGCTTTAAAACAACTAAAAAACTTGCAATGTTACTTGGGAACCTTACCAATCAGGCTAAGGCCTTGTTGTCTGAAGAAGTCGTCTCCACTCTACTTGATCCATGGCCACACGTCGCCAGTCTCGTAGTCTGCGAAGGGTCAGCAGGTCGCCTTATACTTGGTCGATCCACCTTGCCCGCTGCGCGTCTCTTCTTGTTCCTGTTGGATCGCTTTCGAGAACCATTTTCACTGGGTCGTAGTGCGGCATTCTTACGACGTGCCCAGCCCACTGTAGTCGCCCAATTTTTGCAATGTGGACGATGGATGGTTCTCCCAGCAGCTGGTGCAATTCGTAGATGGTACGCAACACCTTCCGTTGGTCCTCCACGAGCATAGTCCAGGTCTCGTGGCCGTAGAGGACCACCGGTCTAATCAGCGTCTTGTAGACAGTCAAATTCGTGCGGCGGCGAATATTATTCGACGGGAGCGTCCTCCGGAGTCCAAAGTAGGCACGATTCCCTGCCATAATGCGTCTTTGAATTTATCTGGTATCATTTTCGGCGGTCACCAGTGAGCCCAAATACACGAACTCGTCGACCACCTCGATTTCGTCAATGTCAATCTGAACTTGGGGTGGGAGGCTAACATTGTCTTCCCTAGAACCTCTTCCTCTCATGCTTTTCGTCTTCGATGCGTTGATGGCAAGTCCAACCCGCATGTGTAAAAACTGGTGATCTCAATTAGTCAATACCAGCGTCGACCGGGTCCAAATGCAGATCAGCCGAGATATGCACTGCACTTCCACGAGGAAGGTTGGCTTTGCTGCAGGATTCGGTTTGGTAAATGGTAAGCTGAATTGCTGTCCTAACGGTCTTCTGTTCAATAATCCACTAGGAAAACGAGATCCTTATTTTACAACACACCGCTTGTGGTGATAGAGTTGTTGTTAATACCATGATTTCATACTAACAAATAAAGCAATTAATCATAGAGAAGTGGGAATAATTCGCTTTCGATGCATATTCAGGTCAAAAAAGTGAACGACAACCTGAAGAAATTGGTCAGGGACTTTGTCGTTCAGTTTTTTTCCCGGAAATTATTGTTAAACAATAAAAATGATTTTTCCCCATACAGTTTACCTGCTTTGCTACCAGACCCCAGAGAGCCAAAAAATTCAAATTTGAGAGAGAAAATTCTCTCTCACGAGCTCAACCTCTCAACATGCCATGTATTTTTATGACACTCGATTTGTGATTTCCCTTTCACAATAGAGTACCTGACACTACAAAACATGTCTGGTATCTCTATATATGCATTTAGATTAACATTCGAAGTCCCTCCTTGTTTTACATATTCTGCACAAACGATACTTTGTGCCCCGCCCCATTCATATAATTCGGCAGGAAATCCTGTGAGGCATGAGCTATTTTGAGTGCAGAATGTGTTAAGAAGGAGGGACTTCGGATGTTAATCTTAATGCATTTATAGAG